GGGGGGGGGGGGGGAAGAGTGTCGGAGACGAAGCGGCGAGGTAACGAACGAACTCGATGCTCAGCGTCGTAAGCGTGTAAGAGTGAGAAAGAGAGAATAAACGAAGGTGAGAGAGAAATGAAGAGAGAGAGAGAGAGAGAGAGAGAAAGAGAGAGAGATAGAGTGAGAATGGGCGAAAGGGGACGGAGAGCGGCAGAAGCTTTGGTCGCTCTGTTCGTCTGTCCGTCTGTCTGCCTGTCCGTCCGACCGTCGGTCGGTGGGTTCTCTCTCGTCGTCGGATTCGCGGGTGGTGCTAGAGGCGTCCAAGGGGCTAGGGACTGAACTGGTACGAGGAGCAAGAGGGGCCGGGGTGAAGCCGGGAGTTCGTTCTGTCTCGCTCGCTGGTCGTCTGCACGGTGACGCGCGCGCGAGAGGAACACAGAGAGAGAGAGAGAGAGTGAGAAGGTTGAGCGACGACGGAGACGCCGGCGGCTCGGGGAAGACCCGAGGGAGGGGAAATGCCGGGTAAAGCCAACTGCTGTTAGCAGGCGGTGGAACCGTAGCGAGGCAAGCCAAGGCAGCCCAGAGTCGAGGACCGTTGGGGAGAGAACGAACAGAACGAACGAGCGAGCGACGACGACGACCATCTTGTGTGTGCAATGCAACGCGCGGGCCTCTGACGACGAGCTGACACAGATCCTCTTTCCTCGCCGCGACTCTGCAACGACAGTTATTCTTCTACTTAGCTCCGTACGTAATCAGTAGGTTCCGCAGCCCGACGGATGTAATGCGCGTCTTGGTGTAGCACGTTATTATACTGTCGTGCTGAGAATATAGCGGGAAATTCAAATCTCGCGGTTTTATCGTAACGCTCGTGGCGACTGATTACGAGGCACTGGTCTATTCCTCGAGCACGTGGAGATTTTACACTCTTCGACGTACGTGCCCCCCCGTGTACGTGTGACGTTTCGCGTGAGCTTGTAGCAGTGTCGTCCGTTATGTACGCACACCGAGCGTACCGCGGGGCGTATCGATGCGCCGGTATCACTGTGTTTATATATTTATACACGTGTGCGGTGATGTCAGAGAGAGCACGTGGGTTTCCTCTGTAAAGTATGACGGTTAAATTAACATGGTGCCTCTTTCGAGAAGTATGATTACGCGCACGCAGTGCTCCGCCGGGTTTTACCGTGGATAAGGATTTCGTGTCCGATCGGAGACGCGGGAGCGTCGTCGTTACGCCCGCGTGGACGTCGAGGACGAGCGACATCCAAGGAGCGACACCCAGCGAGAGCGAGAGGGAGAGAAGACGCTCGGATACTGCCAGTGAGACTCACAGCGAGAGACAGAGAGGGAGAGAGACAAAGCGAGTGAGATTCCGAGTGAGCCAGAGCCAACGAGCTATAGTATACTGTGGTTGGTGATGGGGCAGGGGGAGGGTTCGATCGATTCCCCAGCGAAAATTGCTTTCGCGTGTAACCGTGCGTCGCGTCAGTATACGCTCGAGACACCTACCGAGCGAGTTATCTCTTCCACGGCGTGCCGGTCGCTACGGAGAAGGTATTGAGATCGACGCACCGGATTGAGGTTAAGTTGGACTTTCCGTGACGTCGCTAGTGGACACACAGTGCACGGTGCGTAGAGAGGCTTGTCCGTAGTGCTGCTTTCTGGTTCGGAGGATTGATACTGGTGTTTGTTCTTCTTTTTTCGTTCTATCGAAGGTATCGATGGTCGATGACAGTTCTCGGTAGTGTTTCGTTACCCGGCCGTACTCTGTCCTTCGTGGATATACGAACGACGACGACAACGACTCCTGTGTCCGTGACCCTTTGCTTTTCGACTCGATCTGCATTACCTACAGAGGGTTGGTGTTTTTCCTCGAGTCTGTTATGCTGATTCTCATTTTTTCTCTCTCTCTTTTGTGCCGCTTCGTCGGGCGATCGTGTGCGCTCGTGTCGGGACGTATACGCGTGTGTTCCTGCTTTGTATTAATTCAGGGAAAAAAGACAGCTGATTCTTACTTGTTTCGCTTACTGCCAACCATCGATTCTCGGCCCTGTCCGTTCGCTTTCGCCCGTATTACACACGCCTGTCTCGTACGCTTCTCTGTGAACGTGTAGATGGGCCTTTACTTCGTTCAGTGTGTTCTCGCCTTTTCAAACCGAGATATACCTGGCCATAGTCTTCTTCGGCGGTCTGTCCCATCTTCACGCGTTCATAGTTGCTCGGACTTCGTGTCTTCAGTACTCGCTTGACTGCCTCGTCTGTTAGTTACTAACCGGCGAGCGCTTTACTTGCTACGAGTAAACATAAATATCGTGTATGCTGATTTAATTTACGTGAAATATCTTAAATTTTCGTTATACTGCAGCTCGGTGAACTTAACCTCTGAATCGGGCATTGATCTACTTAACGAATTGTCGAAGGGACTGTGAAGTTTTGTTGTGGCTCGTACGTCGAAGAAGAGGATAAATAAAGTTCGTGCGAATATACCTGTAGGTGCTTTAAAGTTAATAAATTTGATTTATACAGTGTTGTGGTAATAAAAAGAGAAAACGTCCGTTCTGTGCAGAAGTGAAGGTGAAGGCAGTGTGGATTATTCAGGATCGCTGTTTTTTCTTCCCTCGTCTACAGTATACCTGGAGATAAAGGAGACGATTGTTCGAGGACCCGGTGATCTTGTACAACGTGAGTCGATTTTTTTATTTAAATTTTTTATTTACATACCACGTTGACATGACTTTTTTTCGTGATCAACAATTATTATCCTTCAGAAATGAAGTCTACGTATGTCCCCTCGTCTGGGCAATATTTCTAAACGACTATTTCAGGTTAAAACACTGTTTCGTGCATTGTTCGACGTTGTGACGGTACCTTTAGCGATACGTAACGAATGCTCTACCGTTATTGGCCCACCGTGAATGCACCTAGTGACTATAACGGGACGTCAGCCACATAGTTTAGCCAGCAGCAAAGTGCTGCCTAGTTGGTCGTACTCTAGTACCTAGTTTTCTGTACATACTAGTTAGTCACTCTCTTCTCTTTTTCTCTCCCGCCCCGTCTCTCTTTCTCTCACTCTGACTGACTTTATTCTATCTCGCGTTTGCTCGTTCACCGGCGACAAGAAGAAGGGACGCGGAAAGAAGGCGCAACGCGAGGGAATCGCCGATGCGTTTCGACGTTGCGAAAGCATTAATGGCCGACCGCAACGTCTCTCCTCTAGGGTCCCTTCCTTTGTCCTGGCGAGGTACGAAAAAAGTTGTTTCTCCTTGTCCGTACAGTCAGTCTCCTTAGGCCTCACGAAGTCTGCGCTCGATTGCCCGGACTCGTCGGTGACGTATCTTCAGTATATATATATATATATACACACGCATAATATACGTATCAGTAAAGAATTTGTGGTCTTTGTCTTTCTCTGTCTCTCAGGTTAGTCTTTATAGCTTGACGTAATTACACCTCGGCTGAATCACCTTTTCCTACTCGCTTTCGTCACATTTCTCACGTAGTCGGCGATCGCGACGCTTTTCTCCTTTTATTTACCCACAACACGCTTACCAGGATACAATAACCGGAGACGCCGATAAATTCAAGCTTGAAAAATCGTATTACGGGTGTACCGTTAGGAGGCAGAAGTTGGAAGTTGGCGGGTTATTTGAATTTCGCGACACCACCGCTCGATGTGGACCCGAGGATTATTTGCTGAATTTGCACTGATAAGATTATTTAAATCTTATTGGCATGTATATATATATATATATTTATGTAGATGATTACGCGAATTTTGTTAACAACACTTTTACACGTAAGTATTCGCGCTGTCTCTTAACCTCGCTATTAACGAATTAAACGTTAACGAGGTCAAAGTCAGTCGACACGGTGTCCGGCGTCTTCTCTGTTTATCTTATCTTTTTATTTCCAATTATTATTGTTCGGCTTGCCATGCGATTCTGTTTTGATCGTAGCGCGAGGACCGTTGCATTATTTGAATCGGGGCGTCCGATATTTTTCTGTCACGCGTTGGACGGTGTTAGGGGCGGCAGGGGGGGGGTAGATTCGAGGACGGGAACAAAGGAGCGCATTGTTTGCCGGAATTACTGATAGACTTTTTTTGTTTCCTAGGTAGTACCAACCAAACGACTATCATAAATCAGATGACTGCGCGTCGCTAGTAACATTGTCCCTGCGCATAAATACGGTTAATGATAATCCTGAGCAGTGGTTTACGCCGTTCGGACGGTACGTACGTCGATTTTATGAACGTCACGAGCCAATATGGTTGCACCGACTGTAATTGATAACTAATAACGTGCCGCGTACGTTTCGCCGGGCGACTAATATCTGTCCAGTGGAGGTAACGGTTAAGCTAATTAAGTAAAATTATAGTTACTCGAACCACCGATTAATTCATCGTTACCATACCTGGTATAGTATATGTACGCAATATATATAATCGTAACCTGTATATATATACTGTATGCACTGTACAAATACTATATGGAAACTTTTATACAATTCTTCCTCGAGCCGTATTTATTTACCGAGCGCGGACAAAAGGGCAGTATTCGAGAAATGGTTGACAAGCCCGACCGGCAGGCACGCCCTGGGGACCCTTTGCTTTTCACGTATTACAGGTATAGGAAAAATCTGTCTTAATTGTCTCGTGAAACTCCGACTGCCCTCTGGCACGGTACCTTAACTCCGTTGCTCGTGAAATAGTACCGTTAAACAGGTGCAAATAAATCGTACAGCCGGCAGCGCGAAGATCCCCGTAACTACAGGCCGTCGGAGACCCCGAGACAAGATAACGAGCCAAGAGAATTTTAACGAAAGCACAAAGTAGATGTACAGGAGAGACCCCGAACCCCAAGCGTTACCAGGGCAGGAATAGGGGGGTACCTTGGGGCCCCTCGACCTAGGGGCACCCAGGGACGTGATACGTAATATCGGGTAGCGACGTCGATAAATATACGGAAATGGAAGCAGACGCGAGAACCCCGGGAGCAATGACGAGAGGGATCGATTGGGCGTCGGGACGCTCGGCGTTCTCCTCTGGCTTCGTCGTAGTTTCGCCGTTTGGATACGAGCGTCATAACGTCACACCCGCTACGGTTCACCGTGTAGAATGATGGCCGAGCGCGACTGCACCGATTTTACTCGATACACAATTTACCCGATGAGGTCGGCGATCCCCGAAGTCAGGTCGATCGGTTTCGTTGGTATCGGCAGAGAAACGGCAGGATCGGCTTCTGACTGTTCCCTTATGAAGGGGTCTGTCGCGAGCATGGAAACGACGCTGCGTTCAAAATCAAGAGAAAGGGATGGGATTGGTGTGTGTATACGTATGTACATGTCGCTCGTTTCGTACTTGCACGCGTAGGTACGCTTACGGAGATCGGCATGTGTATGCGCCTGTACGTGACGTTGCGCGTTGAGGTGACTGAGAAGCGTGTAAGAGCGGTAAGGGGATTGGTCGGAGCGGGTGAGGGATGAGAGGAGGAG